AAATAAAACGTTAAATATTGATGCAAGGATATCAGGGTCGGGAAAGACGGAGCGTGAAGGCGGGTTGAATAAACACGTCGAAAATCTCAGGGAAATTCGCAATTTGGATGCACAATCGTGATTACAGGTGCCGGGGGAAATTCGGGTCAATATTTTCTTATTGTCTTCTCCATCATGCTGTCTCATTTATCACAAATTCGTATCTACCTTGGCCTTCGTCTGTCCAAGACTCTGTCTGCACCCTCTGTTGTAATATTAAAAAGGATAAAACATGGCTCTTCTAACCTGGGCCGAAATTTGGAAAACAAACTCGCCTAGGCAGCAGGCCCGTTACACCCGCACGACGGAAGATAAATTATGAGGGAATAACGTAAAATTATGACCACTCTTGGCAGTTTCTCATTACCTTAGAGCCAGTTGCGGGTTTGGCTCAATCACCTTTAAAGTTGGGCAATTGAACCGTATACATTCGCCAGTCGACTAAAACGATTTCTCATCAGTAACAATATCAGATTCAATGCACATTACATACAAACAAACAAGTCACAATAATATAATCATGTAATCAAGATTGCAATCAAAATGCCCAACTCACAACACCAGGTGCAAATCTCAATATTAGATTAACCCCATGGCGTTTTATAAATGATTATTTTTGTTTTCTGAAAAAAATGGCCAGTTTTCTTTTTAAAATATGAACATTAGTTGATTTATCCTATTTAATTTATTTTTTATTATCCAGTTAATCATGATTTAATTTTGTGAAGGAATCTCTGACATTTCAATGTACATTAAAAAAGAAAAAAAAAATGTTCACTTGTATGATTTTGTGCCATATATCTATAATGTGATTATGAATAACACTTTAACATGGGGGCGTCGGTGGCCGCAACGATTTAGGCGTTGACACGGCGCTCATCAATGTACGGTAAAGGTCCCGGGTTCGAATCCAGCGTCCCTGCATTCGAACCCGACATACTTACAAATGTTTTTTTCTTTTTCAAAAACACCGGCACCCTGAGGGAAATAACGTCGGCTGTTGCGAACCCTCGTAAAAAAATAAATAACTAAAGCTACTTATTGTTATTATTTGCCAGCCAGCAAAAAAAAACCTAACATTAGGATAGAATACGTTCCACTTTTTATGAGATTTTATTATTATGGTGGTATAATTTGTTTTGTACAAAAACCGTTGTATTGAGTTGAATAAAAGTTAATCTCGTATACGTGATCCTTTTATCAAGAATAAAATAAAGGAATAAGTTAGACCCGCATGAGTTTATATATCGCTTTTATCTCCTTATCTACCTCCAAGGATGTTCAAACTGGCAGGGGAAGCTCTTCTCGACGTGGTCTTTTATTTAAATATCCTTATAAACCTGTGTTAAGAGTTGCGAACAGGCCCGATGGGCATTACTTTTTTACCAGCAAATACAAGTTCGTCTGTACAAGATCCTTTACATACGATATATACACATATTATATATTAAAATATATATCTAATTCCATGGAATATTTCATTGTAAAGTTGGGATACAGATGTTTTTTACATATTGAATATCAAATTGAAATTTTGGTGCATTACGCCACTCACTGTAATTAGTAGCAACATTTCATTGAACAGCATATCATTTGAGTGAATATATTATTAAATAGACATCGAGGTTATCAGTGAAAGTAATTTATCAAGCATTATAACCCTTTTACCGGTTCAATCATAGTTTCTGTGCAAGGAAGAACTCGAGGGGAGGTAAGACCCATCTTATCCATATGGGTACATTTTTATCAAATTCTGTTCGATCAATTTGAATTGTGTGTTGGTGAATGTATAACAAAAAATTACGACAAATAACAAACTACAAAAAAAATCAATTTTTTTTAGTTGAAACTTTTTTCTCACAAATTATATCCTACTTTCAACTGTTCTAACACATCTGCTTAACGATTCTGAAAATGGATTGTTAACTTTACGAGAAAAATGTAAAATGGTGTGAGAAAACGCGATTCTTCAGGAGAGACAAAAAAAACTGGAAAAAAACGAAATTCGCGCCGAAAAACGTCAATAAATAATGTGTGGTATTTAGTGACCTTTAGCCAATATTATTTGGAGATCGTGAGATGCAGTCTGGTGTGACGTAGATTTTAGAAAAACATTTTCTTTGAGATCATCTTCAAGGCCTGGGATTTATAAACATAAATAATAAATCCCAGGCTCTGAAGATGATTTCAATAAAGATCGAAACGTTGGCACGATAAAGAAAATGTTTTTGTAAAACCTACGTCACACCAGACCGCATCTCACGATCTCCAAATAATCATTAATAAATATTATGCATTATATGACGTTTCAACGAAATAGTTGGTTCTCTTTAGCTATGGTTTAGGCTTTATAAATAAAAATCGATTTCAGGGTAAAATCTAACTAGAAACTTTTTCGAGCTCAGTTTAAGAGTTGTGAACAGGCCAGATGGGCATTACTTTTTTACCATCAAATAACACTTCGTCTGTACAAGATGGGATCCTTTGCGTATGATATATATATGATATATATATGAGATATACACATGATATATTATTATATATTTAATATATATTATCTAATTCTATGGAGTACTACATTGCAAAGTTGAGATACAGATATTTTTTTCCATGTTAAAAATCAAGACGATTTTTTTTTCAGTTTGTGATAAATCTGTAGGTAGGCTGTCATTATTCAAACTCGCCATTTTTTCACCCCAATAAATAAACAACAAAAACCAACTGAATCTGTTCTTTTGATAAATAGGATTGTAGAAGGATATTTTTATTTATTACCTTCCAATTTTATGTATTCCAACTATTTATGACTAAGTTTATACACTGGTACAATAAATTAAAAGCGTTACAATACTCCGCCCACTTAAATTTTGATGAGCGATGAAGAAGTTTAGCCGGGGTCAGCAGTTTCATCCTTGTTGATTTTCAACATCGAGACAAAACGTATTAACATTCAATTGTGAATAATTAATCAAAAATTGTTTACCGCTCTAATGAAAACAGAGCTAATTTGTTTTAATTAATTAATTCTGATTCCATGCTGTAACGTTGTTGCTTTCGAATTACCGAAGGTAGGAAACCCTTTATGCATGCGGGAAGTCGACAAACTTTTTGTCCTTCAAAATCACAATTTCCACTCGCAGTTTGAGTTTCAGACTTTTCTGAACAAATTTGGTTCTGTGTCTCCTGTTGTCAATTCCTTGGAACCGGCAAAATTCCGAAACCATGAGACCATTTATGAAATTTTCAGAGATTATGCGGGATTCGTTTCTAGATGGTTCCCAACGAATTTGTTGAAATCGTCTCAACTGTATCGCCTGTACTTGCTATATCTTTGAAATCATACCATTTGTCAGATCTTATCCAATTATCAGGGATTATGTGGGTTCCTCTCTAAATGATCTCTTATTAATTTTATATTGCTCACTTTTTTTTAAAACTAATGTGCCATAACAGATAACATGACTGGGCTTAAGAAAAGGTTCGGGCGTAGCACAGAACAAAACAAATTTTCAGTTGTTCCTTCATAAATTATTGGCACAACGTATGACAATGTAGATGGAAAAACTAATTTATTTTTATTAGGTTTCGTGGTCCGCTTGACCAATCAAATTCTTTTCAATTAATAATATATTCTTTTTATGTAAGGTTTTGGTTGAGATAAAAATGCAAGTGTCACAAGCGGGATTCGAACCCACGACCTTCCGCTAAATATGCCGCTGCTCTACCCCTTGAGCTATCGTGACTTCCATCCTCTCGGACACTAACTTCCCATCTCTTCACTAAAGCTCTCCGTGGCCATTTCATTTATCGCCAAGAATCGAATAGATTTCACGACATTTGAAAAATGGCAAAAAGGAGGGAAAAATCAAAAGGTGGGGTTGAGATGGGAAGTTGGTGTCCGAGAGGATCGAAGTCACGATAGCTCAAGTGGTAGAGCAGCGGCATATTTAGCGGAAGGTCGTGGGTTCGAATCCCGCTTGTGACACTTGCTTTTCCATCTTAACCAAAACCGTAATTAATTGAAAATGTAAAACTAATGTAAAAAATTATTAAAATATATTTATCCGCTCTGACGATTAGATAATCCATAGAAAAAATTCATTTTAGTTTAAAAGTATTAATTATTATCTTAATTTTAATCCTTTTATGGCAATAATATCTTTAATAATATAATTTTTGTAGAACCATATATGATATAGTAGTGTTTTTCAGGTGGTTCGGCTCCTTTAATATCTATTATTAGTGGGCTTAAAACTAGCCCCTGACAGTAATAATACAATGTTATATGACAATATATGCTATAGCATAAACTTTTAGTAAGTTAATGGACTACTATTACTGCTAGTACAAGGCCGTAACATAGAAATTGTACTTGGAAAATTTTCACGCATCTCAGCCTTAAACCAATTGTTAATTGACATAAAAAGTGATGATTATTGCGAAAAAAAAGTATGGCTTTAAAAAGTATATTTTCAATTATAATTGGATTCGAAATATGGCGGACCCTCTATAGTTCAATAGATGATTTGGAACAGCGTTATCGCTATATTATTGGGCCAGTCGAGAGTGAATATCAGCGGGTTCAGGAAGTAAGAGAGCCCAGAGCCAAGGGAAAAGGGGTCTTTGATCCAACTCCATCGCAAAGTTGGTGAGATTACCCCACGTACCGTTATAGTACCGGTATTATATCAAAGTTATCCTATAACCTGCACAAGAGATTACGGCCTTTGTGCTTCTATAATCATTTGCTTTATATGCTATTTATAAACATCTTTCTTAGTGTTTTCCCTGGGTCGAGGTGCCTTCGAGTGAGGGTGGATAATGTCCTGTTTAAACTCCGGCACTTAAACCGACAAACCTCGCCCACCCTTCCACTATAGCTATACAACATTTACGCTCCTTGGAAAATTAATTCCGGATTTACCGGTACTGGTTAATTTTACGCTTCGGCAAGTACTTACTCGTTCCGTAGATTAAATCAAGCATTCCTCATCTGAAACAGAAAGAAAAATATAATTAAAAACCAAACTTAAAAAAAAATTACTTTTAATCCCGACCCAAGAAAACATTAAATTTGCTTGAATTTCCCCTAATAAATTTTGCAATTAAAAAAGATTACCAGTTGTCAGAATATTAAAAATGCATTGGACAGTAACCTAATTAAATTCTTGTTTAAATGTCAACCATCAGTATATACAGTTATATTATATGTTGTTTTTATTGAACTCAATCGATTGGTGCATATAAAACCTCTGCTGAAACGCTGTTGCAACAAAGGTCGAAATGTGAACTTTTACAAACCAAATGGTTTCTTCATTGAAAAGATGGTAATTAGAAAAAGGACATTTATGTGGAGAGTAAATGGAAAAATTATTACAGTGAAAGTCCTTGCTATATCATGCTCGATTTTGCTTTATAATTGCCCACGATGATCAATGCTATTCAAAATAAATTTATTACAAAAAGCTTATTTTGATAAAAAATTCTTGACAAGCGAGCGAATAGTTATTTGTGAAAAACACCATTGACATTAGTAGGTTACATACCAAGAAAATATTTTTATCGAGATTTTGTCAACATGTTTTTCGTTAGAATTCCTTACATTAATACAGCGAGAATAACCTGACCAGAATCATCATAATTCACAGGAAATTTTATGTATCTATTGTTGTTTAGGGATTCTTTTTTTTCTTATACATTTATTAAATTATTTAAATTTTATTTTATTTAGGTTTATTCATATTTTGCGTATCAAAAATAGGTCTGGTTGTAAAAATAAGACACTTAAAAAGAAAATGTTTATTACCTAATTTAAAAAAAATTCTAAATAAGGAAAAATTGGTAAAAACCCGAGGAATTCTGTCGCATTCATCAAGAAGAGCCGTTTCACTTTTTTAGGGTGTTAGGACCTGGGTACTCGTCTCTTAAGTTGGTCTCAAATGTGTTCGATTGGGCTCAAATCTGGACTGAGAGCTGTCCACACCAAGCAATCAATTCCAACCTCATTCAGGTAGTCATCCACAATACGTTCTCTATGGGGCCTAGCATTATCCTGCATTAGGAAGAATCTGTCACCCATGTGGGGGGGGGGCAAAGAGCACTAATGATCTTCCATTATGTTTTGTAAGTACGTCTGTGAAATTAGAGATCTTCCTCGCACAACAACCAATTCGGTGCCAACGTCCAAGGAATGCCACTCCAGACCACCAATGACCCACCGGGTAATGCTAGTGTGATTTACACTCAGAATCCTGGCAACTTCGCACTGGCTGTATCCTTCATCTAATAATGTTATGACCCTGACACTTTCATAATCACTGAAATGCCTGACTGGAGTCACTGAGAAAAGTTTAAGAATAAGTTACAATTAATGAAGGTTTTGAGTTGAGATAAAAAAGTCAATGGCACGAGTGGGATTCGAACCCACGATCTTCGGCTTGATACGCCGCTCCTCTACCACTTGAGCTATCGTGACCTCGATCCTTCATTTGTTGTCGAGAATCCAATCCGATCACACGACCTTTGAAAAATGGCAAAAAGGAGGGAAAACTCAAAAGGTGGGGTTGAGATAGGAAGTTGGTGTCCGAGTGGATCGAGGTCACGACAGCTCAAGTGGTAGAGCAGCGGCGTATCAAGCCGAAGATCGTGGGTTCGAATCCCGCTCGAGCCATTGACTTTTTTATCTCAACTAAAAACCTTAATTAATTTTAATATATTAATTGGTCAAGCGGACCAAGAATTAGTGAATTTAAGAATAAGAATAATATCAAATGAAATCAACGAATGAAAAAGATTAACTGAAAGCGATCTTTAGGCGTAGCAGAATACCACGTTTTGTGCAAGTGGGATTAATCAGTACAAAAGTAATTAAAAAACGTAAACAAAACATTATTTACTGTTTATTTTAACGACGATAGCTCCTAATTATTTGTAACTATTGTAAAAAGATACTGGATATAATTTAAACTAATATAAATTGAACGGTGCGTTAAAATTGTCCATCAGTGCAATTTTGCCCAAAAGTTAGAGTATAGAAAGGCAAATTTATGTAAGTAGACAGGGCTTAAGCTATTTATCTAGTCATACATCCATACTGGAGTTGATATATTACAAATTTAAAAAAAATATACTGCTACACAAATCATATACAAAAAAAGTTTGTGATAAGATTACACTTAAACACATGTCTGCTGTTACTCTTGACTTACATTATGTAGTTTATAAATTCGTTGTTACAATTAAAAACTACCAAAAACGCCAAGGCTTGGCCAATGATAGTTTTGCAGCAGTCGGGATCTTGTGAAATCATTGGGACTAGTATAGAGGAAACAGTCTCACATTAAGACGGATTTATTAGGGGGAATTTAACATTATGGAAATTGATTATTTGGAGATCGAGAGATACGGTCTGGTGTGACGTAGGTTTAGAAAAAAATCTTTTCTTTATCGTGCTAATCTTGATCTCCAAATAATCACCAACTAACGGTCACTAAACACTACACAATTCTTCACGAGACTAGCGAAGAACATGGGATTCTACGAACAGATATCAACTACATATGGACACCAAGCAAATATCCTGAAATATCGTCAGCAATGAAAAGAAATTTGCAGCGGCTATCAATCAGAGAACCTTTTTGTTAAAATGGCGGCAATACAAGGCTCGGAAGATGATCTCCATAAAGATCGAAACGTTGGCACGATAAAGAAAATGTTTTTCTAAACCTACGTCGCACCAGACCGCAACTCACGATCTCCAAATAATCATCAACCAACGGTCATTATGGGAATTGTTTTCAATTGAAACTGATACTTTTAAACTCGTCTATGTAGTTTCCTTCTGTATGAAAAAAAAAATTTTAATACAAAAAATGCCTGGCACAGTGGCAATATGAAGTTCTACTGAGATGCGATTATTGCTAGTTGAAAAAGGTAATTAAATGGTATGATCCTACACTTCACAAACAGAAGAAACAGTTCTTACTATTTTTCTTTTAAGTGACTGCAATGGAGTAGGAAACATTTTTATGTTACAAGATTTCTCCCAGCATAAAATGCCATACTAAATAAGAGACTGAACGAGAGCATAATACATTTTCTGAAAAGGAACTCTGCATTTATCGAAAGTCAATTTTCTTTAAATCCATGACAATCATTTTCTTATTTACGAAACAGTATGATTGAACCTGTTAAGGTGGTCATCTATTGACCTTCTTGATATCTTCTAGAAATATTTCACACCATTAGAAATCATTTGGATATTTAATAAACGTGGTTCGTAATCTTTGATGTATTAAGAGGAGTTTAGAAATGCATTTGCTGTAAAAATTTTGTTTCAAGTACTCCTGAGTACGCATATAATTGGTCTCCTTTTCATGCAAGAGAGATTCCATCAATAGAAAAGCTTCAAACGAAAGCTACTAAAGTTACGGCTTATAAGTTTGGTTATTTCTGGTATAACAATAAATTACAATGATAGATTGGACTGGTTAAATTATTAGTCTTTTGAATCCCGTCGCACTTGCGGATCTTGCTCTGCCTTGGAAGATCCGCAATAGAGTTGTGGATGCCCCTGACCTACCCAATAATCTATTCTGTGTTCGGAGAACTAGAACCGATGATTTACTAAATTCTCCGATGCCTAATAATAAGGTTGCTCATTCGGTTCTCGGGTGAAACTGGTGTGACTTCCTAAATATATTCAAGGTAAGAGTCACTAGTTTAATTTCGACTGCTCATTAGGCCAGGTTTCATGTGGTTTTTTGTAAATAAATAAATAAACCCAAAAGAGTTATTATTGGCCAATGAAATATAATTTATGAAACAATTAGCATTTGTTCTGCTGATCACCTTACGAAAAACCTACAAGGAACTATTTTTTTATATTAAATCCATTATATTTCGTGGTCCGAATAACTTTAATAATATTTAGCCAAATAACTTCTTTCAATTAATTAATCTTTTTATGTTAGGTTTTGGTTGAAATAAAAAAGTTAGTGACACGAGCGGGATTCGAACCCACGACCTTAGGCTCAATACGCTGCTGTTCTAACCTCTTGAGTTATCGTGACTTCAATCCACTCGGACACCAACTTCCCATCTCAACCTACCTTTCGAATTTTTCCCCCTTTTTGCCATTTTCAAATGTCTGTAATCAGGATTCGATTCTCGGTGACACATTAAATGGCTACCGATATTTTTATAATTATAACAAAGTAAGTATAACAACAAACAAGGAAAGAACTTTTTTTCTTTCATTTTAACAATTTATTGTAAACTCAAATATTTTTCTAAGAAAGTTTCTAATTCAGTCAAGGATTAAAACAAATTTTAAACCAATGGATAATTTTACTCAAACCGACTCCGGCCAATTAATAAGTTACTCCCTGCAGTAAAAGAATGAATAGGGGAACACGAAGACGAGTCCGGGGGAGCAGGGTTAAAGTGATATTTCAAAGCAATTTGCCAAATAGGACGACTGTCTCCCTCCTTTCCTTCCGATTTATAAACCATGGGCTTGGAACGGGCAGAACTCCGAGACCGGTGAATAATTTAGTCGAGTTCCCTTGTCTAGCTTCTGCACGGTATCTTCATCCTCGATGACTGCCCCATAAACTGTCAGCTACGAGGAACACACATCAGTAATAACAATTTGAAAACAATTTTTTAAAACCATCCTTTCTCTTTTATGGTTTTGATGATTAAATTTGGCAACGTTTCCTTTGGTTACGTTTTGTCAAGAGGATGAAAGGGATCTTTCAATTTGGAGCTTGTTGATGGTTATGCTGGAAAAATTAAATTAGCGAGAAACGTCCCTCGGGGCTCAATAATGTTACTGGTAAACAAATTGAATATTCAACTTAGGAAAAATATACACAAGATCGACCATACGGGGTAGGGCTTCGGAAACTTCAGATAAGGAAAATTTTCTGCTATCAACTCAGACAAGTTATACGCCGCGGAGCAATTGAAAGTTGGAATTTAGTTTGTAAT